TGGGACAGATCCACACTGGAGTCCAGCGAACAGGGAGATGATCCAGTCTCTGGGAAAACTGGCTTTTGAGCAGCTGCAGAAAGGCAACCTGATCTTTTATGAATCAGACCTGACAGAGTGTGGCATCGATATCAGAGCAGCCTCCGTGTACTCAGGAGTGTTCACACAGATCTTGATAGAGGAGAGAGGACTGTACCAGGGCCGGATGTTCTGCTTCATCCATCTGAGTGTTCAGGAGTTTCTGGCTGCTCTTCATGTCCATCTGACCTTCATCACCTCTGGAGTCAATCTGATGTTAGAAGAACAAACATCATCCCAGGAGTCTGAAACAAGAGAAGAGGAATCTGCAGAGACACTCTTCTACCAGAGAGCTGTAGACGAGGCCTTACAGAGTTCAAATGGACACCTGGACTTGTTCCTCCGCTTCTTCCTGGGCCTTTCAGTGCAGACCAATCAGACTCTCCTACAAGGCCTGCTTACACAGACAGGAAGTGGCTCACAGACCAATCAGAAAACAGTCGAGTACATCAAAAAGAAGATCAGCGAGGATCTGTCTACAGAGAGAAGCATCAACCTGTTCCACTGTCTGAATGAACTGAATGATCAGTCTCTAGTGGAGCAGGTCCAACAGTCCCTGAGATCAGGACATTTCTCCACAGATAAACTGTCTCCTGCTCAGTGGTCGGCTCTGGTCTTCATCATACTGTCATCAGACAACGATGTAGCAGTGTTCGACCTGAAGAAATACTCTGCTTCAGAGGAGGCTCTTCTGAGGCTGCTGCCTGTGGTCAGAGCCTCCAACAAAGCTCTGTGTGTGCACATAGAACAGTCTAGGTTAAGTTGATGTTTGTCTTTAGTCAAGACAAAAAGCTGATGTTTGTAACTGGTATCTACGGTTTTGCTGGTTTCTCTCCAGGCTGAGTGGCTGTAACCTGTCAGTGAGAAGCTGTGAAGCTCTGTCCTCAGTTCTCAGCTCCCAGTCCTCTAGTCTGAGACACCTGGACCTGAGTGACAACCACCTGCAGTACTCAGGAGTGAAGCTGTTATCTGCTGGACTGGGGAGTCCACATTGTGAACTGGAAACTCTCAGGTCAGGACTCAGATTTTTCTCTGCATTGTCTTACAGGGTGTTCAGTCCTTTTTACTGTGTCATTCAAGTTGAACTTTTTTATTGATCAGAAAGTTGTGGTTTCTTTCGCTCTTTTGCCTCATTGAGTTAATCCCAGTTTCTGGTCTTAAGTTCATGTGAGCAGCTGCACTGGAAATATGTTGACTGAAACAGATGTTGGCAGCTAAAAAAGAAGAAGCTGAGGATTTCAGGGGCCTTCTCAGTTCATCATTTCTCAGCATTTCTGACAGACAGTCTGGTCAATGATCTTGTAGTGGATTCACACACTAATAGAAATCATCAAGTTCCAGTGTGGTGAGTCTGGAGGCCAGTTTCTCTCTGAGCTTTGAACCAGTGATCAATTCCTCTGTTTGGTGCTGGTTGAGCTGCAACCAGCTTGGTGGCATCCAGGCATTTCTGTCTAAAATCTAGTGAAGAAGTGAGTCACTGGTCCCAGTGTGGTCAGGAGACACGGCCACATAGAGCAGAGTGTCATCAGCATATCTGAGGACAGAGATGCTGTGTTTCCTGATGACACTGCCACCGTGACTACTGACCTCACCGTCCCTGTCTCCTTTGTAAACATAAATTTGCAATAACATCTTTTCTATGACCAGCAACATAGTCTTACAATTTATACGATACAAGACCATTTACAGGACCCATATTACACAAAATAAAATGTTCTAAATGGGTTTCACTGACACAGACATCTGCTCACAATGCATTCTAGGTTGCACCAACAATTATTTTCATGCTAGTTGGATCTGTCAACCAGTTCATTCCCTCTGGATAGCAGTGACAGACAAACTCTCCACCATCTTGTGCTGTAGAATCCCTCCTTCTCCATTACTTTGCTTACTCGGTAATATCATAGAAATCGACCACCTATCAATTAAATACAAATACTCACTTCTCATTTCCCTTGCTATTGCCAAGAAAACAATATTTCAAAACTGGAAATCAAAAAAATCACTACACGTAAACCACTGGACCAACCTTCTAATAGAATACATCACATTAGAGAAAATGACATTCACTCACAAGAATATTTTATCAGCTATCAAACCCATTTCTAACACATTTCAACTTGAACCAAATTTCTGGGGCTGAGGCCATGCACATTCCCCCCAACCTCTAAAAATTTAACAAGATGATTTTATTAGTAGTACTGTTATCATCATTATTATTGGTAATAGTTTGTTTATTTATTTTCCCTCCTTTTCCCTTTCTTGCGTTTCATGTTATATCTTGCTGCTTGCTACTGTGCTGTAACCTTTTTAAACCTATATAAAATTCTTGAAAGGGTTAATACTTTCTCTCTTTATTGAGTCAATTTTGATGTTATTAATATTTTTATGATTTAGTTGGTTTACACTTTTAAGTGGTAAGAGTTCTGACTGCACTTACAGGCACACAAACATAATGAGTGTTTGATATTACACAACAATTCAGTGTTGACAGTAGACCAACACTGAACTGCTAAAATGATTTTTAGACAGCTATATCAGAAAATATTTTATACAAAATACCCAGCTGCTTACTTATTACACAATACAAACTGCCCTTTGAATTTCCTATCCTTAATGACATCTTATGTCAACTAAATACTGTGCAAAGTAAATATGGTTTTAAGTGGCCAGTGTCACAGCTTTTATGGGTTATTTCAAACAAAATTTAACACTTCCTCAAAGAACCAGAGCCTTCTGGTTTATAAAATTCTCAGTAGGAATAACACCTGAGGGTATAAAGAGGTAGCTGCTTATAAGTGCAGGTTGTTATTATTCGGGAGGTTTTGGGGTCTTATCCTGAATTAATAACATGTAAGAGGGAGGTCTGCAGGGAACTCTGTTTGCAGGTTTATGGTAGTCAATTACTGAGTGAATATCTCCGCCAAAAAACCTCAAGCAGTGTTTGGAGCTTTAATATGTTTCAAATATGCCACCTTAGTGCGAGAGGTTAAGCTTTATTCCTATTTCCAGAGGTTAGCATATCGTGGCATTCATACAACAGTTAAACATATAAAGACCCACTGATGTAGGGAGTTTAGACTGAAAGTCAGAACCCGTGTGTGTGTGTGTGTGTGTGTGTGTGTGTGCATGAATCCCCAGAACAGACATCAGTACATTTCAGCATGTAGATCTGGTTTCAGGTGATGAAACGTCTCCAGGAAACGACTGTGAGTCACTGTATTGTTCTGTGAAGTGATGGAAACATGTCTGTGTGTTCAGGCTGTCAGGCTGTCTGGTCACAGAGGAAGGCTGTGCTTCTCTGGCCTCAGCTCTGAGCTCCAACCCCTCCCATCTGAGAGAGCTGGACCTGAGCTACAACCATCCAGGAGACTCAGGAGTGAAGCTGCTGTCGGTTGGACTGAAGGATCCAGACTGGAGACTGAAGTCCCTCAGGTAATACTCTTTCAGGTTCAGACGGACCACAGAGACCACAGACCAGACTCTCACAGGTACAGACAGACCACAGACCGGACTGTCTCGGGTACAGACGGACCACCAACCGGACTGTCTCCGGGACAGACGGGCCCCCAAACCGGCTTGGGTACAGACAGCCCGCAGACAGCAGCAGCTGTCACACTGTGCCTCTGTCTCTCTGACTGACTGAGGAACTCCAGTCCATGTTTAATGGTGGATGTGAGTGAAGGTCTGTCGCTGACTTTGTCTCTTCCCCCAGGGTGGACCCTGGTGGACCGCAGTGGATGAGACCTGGTCTGAGGAAGTGTGAGTGTGTTTAAGTTTGATTCCTGCAAACCCAGCTGCACATGTTCCACTAGATGTAGACATTTCCTTGACTGAAGGGCAAAGATGAGTTTCTGCAGAGTTTCATTCAGGATTTAGCTTCTGGTTTTTGTCTGTGTGGTTGGAAACATGTTAGAATTCAGTCAGTCGGTTTAAAATCCACAGACACCACAGACACAACAAAGTGAACACAGTGACCCAACAAACACTAATGTCACAGTGGAGCCAGCAGAAGCCAACTTTGTCCTTCTGCCACTGATATTATAGAGGAGCCATGCTGCCTTCAGGTGCTGCTCGTAAGCTCGTACTTCAGGAGATTGTTTGTGGAGCTAATCAGAGTTGCTCTGTGCTGCAGTGGAAGATGATGAACCAGGTTGATGAGTGAGACTTGATACAATTCATGTATTTATTGATCTCCATTAGCAGCCGTCCTTGGGCCACAACAGGAAACAGCATAATATTGCTGACATCTGGCACCAGATGCATAAAACTCTGCGTAGATTCACGACTAAAGCTGTGTGTACAAAAATGAGCAAGCACATTGTTTTTGTCAAATTCATAAAACCACACCTACGCCCGCCGCTGCTTTATAAATCCCAATTGTTGTGGAATTGGGCGCCTCTGCACAGGATTATTTCACCTTTTTTTAATTGTTGTTGTTTTGTTTTTTCTTCTGGAACTTATTTTTTGACTTATTGAAAGTGACTGGAGAAGTAGAGAAAAGAAGATTCAATTTGTTTGGTGGCGACTGGCAGGTTATTAATACATCAGGTCAGATCAGACAGCCGTGGCTGAGGTAGAGAAAAAAGTGTTGGATTGTAAGGGAGAGGCAGAAAAGTGCTTAAGTCCTCCTCCTGTTGCCTTCACGTTCTTTGTGCTCCTGTGTGCACTTTCAGTGTGCATTCTTTGGTGCACAAAGAGCATGAAGGCAACAGGAGGAGGACACCTCCTGCATTATCTACAGCAGATGAACGTATCGCAGTTTCAGCGACACAGCTTCACAGGGAACAATGTCTAAACACTGTTTCTGGTCTTATAGGGGCGTTGTCAAGATCCTGCACTAAGGCTAGAACAGATGTCCTTATGCACGACCACCACGCCACCTAGAGCTGTTTCTACACTGCTGTAATGTAATCACAGACCTGTAAAAGGCTAGTTGCTAGTCTGGTGACATCTCAATCATGATTTTATGAAAATCAATTAATGACAGTAATATCAGCACTTTACAGAATCATTTACAAGAAAGTTTGTCATGAAAAACTAGAAAATAACATCAAGGTAAAAGAAATAAGAACAATCAGCCCAACATAAACGTAGTGTTTAAAAATACATTTTGTGAAGTGAAGAATATGTAAAGAGATAAAACTAATGCAGGTTGTTTACAACAGGCTGTCTCACCTTATTTTTCATTTCCTCTTCACCATGTCACACATTCTCAAACCATGTGCATACATGGTCTGAAGTAGACGTGGGGCGCACGTTCTTCCCACACACTGTGTTTATACACAAGGTTTTGTGTGCACTCATCGTTTATGCATCTGGCCCCTGGACTCTCATGTTAAGTCACTGCTCATATTGGTGTAACTGGATTGTTGTATTTCAGTTTCAATGGAGCCAAACATGAGTTGCAGTAAATCTGAAATGTCAGTGTGAATGAGTTCCTCAGAAATTGTCAGTAAAGTTGTTCCTACACCAACAGATGATAAACTGCTGCTGTGTCTTTTCTCTCTATCAGATTTCTGTGAACTGGAACTGGACACAAACACAGTGCACAGAAAACTACGACTGTCTGACAACAACAGGAAGGTGACACGGGTCTGGGAGGATCAGTTATATCCTGATCATCCAGACAGATTTGACTACTGGCCTCAGCTGCTGTGTAGAACTGGTCTGACTGGTCGCTGTTACTGGGAGGTCGAGTGGAGAGGATGGGTTGAAATATCACTGAGTTACAAAGGAATCAGGAGGAAAGGAGTCAGTTATGACTGTTGGTTTGGAGGGAATGATCAGTCCTGGAGTCTGCACTGCTATGAGGATGGTTACTATGTCAGACACAATAAGAGAGAAACATCCATCCCCTCCTCAGTGTCTCACAGAGCAGCAGTGTATGTGGACTGTCCTGCCGGCACTCTGTCCTTCTACGCAGTCTCCTCTGACACACTGATCCACCTCCACACCTTCAACACCACATTCATTGAACCTCTTTATCCTGGGTTCTGGTTCAGTTCTGGTTCCTCAGTGTATCTGTGTGGTGCGTAGGTGTGAGATTCTCCTGTGGACAGAAACTCTGAAGATCAGCTGCTGAGGTCAAAGGTAACTCTGTTCACCATCCCACTCTCTGCACTGTGAAGCAGATCTGTCTTCGAGTCAGACACCAAACACTCATTTGTCTAATTTCATCATTTTAACCATCAACATTTGAAGAGTTCAGTCAAATGGTTTTGATTCTTTGTGATGATTATTGTTGTCTCAGTTCACTCTGCTGTTGATGCTGCCAGGATCCACTGAGCAGCATCCAGCTCTGCTCAGGGTTTAACAGAGTCTCTGTTCAACATCTGTCCAGCTGTTGAAGCCCACAGTCAGGTTGAGTCGAATTTAACCTTGTATCATGTTATTGGATTATTATGACTGATGCATTATTGTGTTCATATTATGCAGCTGGTAAAGGGGGAGTGTATGTTAACTACCGTTTATTCTCATACTGTGAAGTACTTTACATCCTGCTGGGTAGCTGGTGAGTGTCCCACCAGGGATCAATAAAGTCTGATCACAGCCTGTGATAACGTGATCATTTATTGGTTGGTTATATGTTTTTGTTCTTCTGAATCTACATATTATCTTCCGCTGCCAGAACAGTGTAGTGCTGTAAATAGTAGTGTTTGCACCTGAAATGTAGTAGAGATGTGTGAAGTTTCATAAATAGGAAATATTCCAATAAAGTGTAAATACATGAACATTGTATTTATACCCAGTAGTTGAGTAGATGTACTTAGTTTTTCCCACTGATCTTGAATCTAGTGCATTCTAGACAACTCCTGAGCCAAGACAAACTACATAAGAAGAGTTACTGTACAGTGCGTCACCATTTTAGCAGCCTTTGGCTTTTCCTGTAGGAAAAGTCAGTGTTTAAGTGTTAAATTGAGAGTTTTAAAGCCATGAACATAGTTTTTTCTTGTTGTTAACATCAAACTGATTTAGCAATGCCAGTATTCCTAATAGTCCCGGTTGCTCTTCTGCACGTCTTGTCTGAGCCGTCAGTGTTAGGATCGCTCGACACAATTGTGAGCGAGCAGTAAAGAACAGACCCAGGCGGCTGGCTTCGGTGCAATAGGTGGATTTATTTACAATAGTGAAACAGGGGTGCAACAATATATACAACAAACAAGCGTGAATGACTGAAATGAATATCACCGGGTGATGACCAGCATTAGTGAAGGGGTTATTGTCCGTGGAGTGATGAGGTTGGGCTGCAAGGGAAGGCGACACTCCTGAGCTGGTCAAGGTGGTGATCCGGTAGACTGAGGAGTAACAGAGAGTGGATTGAATGATGAGACTGTGCATCGACCTGTGGAAGAGGTTGGTGGAGCTGAGGAAGCCAAGGTCCAGAGGAGAGGTCCAGGTAAAACAACAGGAGACGCTAGAACTAACATATGTGAAAACAGGAGAAAAAATAGTATAATACGTAATGCAAAGAAGGCTAACGACATAGAAAGAACCAGCAAGGGAGTGAAGGTAAGGCCGGGTATAAATAGGGAGTGACAAAGGAGGCGCAGCTGAAGAGTGTCAGAAAATCAGGACAGGTGTGTTAATCAAGAGAGTCAGTGAGAAGGAGCAGACTAGAGCGAGAAAGAGAGAAGAGAGGAAGGTGCAGCCGGGCAAACCTGACACTGACAGGCTGCAAATACACAGAATAACAAAGAGGAACTGTTTGTAAACTATTTTTGTTCTGGTTCTGGTCCATTTTAGTCCCTGTACAATGTATTTGAGGGAAAATTAAAAATAAACCTCAAACATCATGGGTGGAACTGAATAATTAGAAAGAGAAAGAGGTGAAGTCTGTTGAAGATTAGTGAAAAGACAAGTTCACTGTTCATCCAGTAATGTCAGTCAGATTACAGATGATCAGTTGAATATGATGCTGAGTCCTGACCTGAGAGTTTCCAGTTCACAATGTGGACTCCCCAGTCCAACAGACAACAGCTTCACTCCTGAGTCCTGCAGGTCGTTGTTACTCAGGTCCAGGTGTCTCAGACTAGAGGACTGGAAGCTGAGAACTGAGGACAGAGCTTCACAGCTTCTCTCTGACAGGT